AAAGCCATGAAATTGAGACTTGTGAGAACGTATGAAGTACAAAATTAATGTGACAGAACATTTAGTAAAACTAAAGAGTATGTATTCCACGACCAAGAGGTAAACTTATATAGACATGTGTTGGGTTGCTTTTTATTTTATAATTCATATCTAAACGATGTTTTATTTCGTAAATACATATGGAACATATATTCATGCTACAATGCCAAAGGAACAAGTAGATAAGTATCGGAATGTGCTGAAAGAGGGTGTGGTTTATGGTGTGAAGAACTTTTTAGTGATTACAAATTATTTTAAGTATAAAATTACTAAACACATTTCATGATTAAGTTAATTATGCTATTATTGTTTCATGTATGTGTTTATGTATCTGTATATATTTGTATACACATATATTAACATATTTAAAATTATTTAAAAAAATTAATTAGTGTCAAGAATATATATATATATATATATATATATATATATATATAAGTTACATATTTTTTAATAAATATTTAGTATTTCAAATTCATTTTTAAATATGGAAGAGTTTGATTATACTTGTGCCTAAGGTTAGTAGTTTACAAGGACTTAAAATTCTGATATGTAGTGATTTTGAAGAAGTTTTACTTTTACCCTAAGTGTTGTTTATCATGAAGTGTTCAACAATTTGTAATGTATTTGGGATGTTGAATTCATATACAACAAATTGTTTATTTCTTTACTAATGTTTTTATACTCAAATTGATACACTATATAATTACAACTTGATCAACAATGATGTTATTTAACTTTTGATCCGTGCATCGCACGTATGGAGTATTATTGTCGGGCGTCGGGCGGGTTGTTGAGTCCAACCCTGACTCGATTCGAGATGTGGCGCTGTAATTTACTATGGAAAGATATGGTTAAATGGTTAATGTTCACTCTCTATTATTAAGCATGTTTGACTTATCGCAAAAGCATAATACAGCGCCAAGATCCATCAACTAGTATTATTTAAAATAAATTAATAGAAAAAGAAGTAGGGATACGTGTCGTTATCTAATCCCACTACAGACCAATCCTTATATTGCTCCAAAGTACAAAGAAACGCAAATTCAAGAACTGAGTATGATTGGGCGATGGTAGGCAGCCACGTCCGACGGCTGTTACATCGTCTTCTTTCCATAACTGGGGTTGTTCCCTTTCCTAACCTAATCCCTCTCATTTACCTTCCTTCACCCTAACTTCTCAAATCTCCCCCTTTGTTTTCTTCTCCGTTTGGAACCCTATCTAACCCCCCCCCTTTTGTGCAGATTCTAATTCACCCCCATTGCTCTCTCTCTCTCTCTCTCTCTGCAAACGCACGACGTTTTTAGCCACTCCCAATTCCGCGCTTCGTAACTTCCCATCCCAGACACTCAAAGGTACCATCCTTTTCCCCCCTTTTTTTATTCTGAGAATTCTGAGGGTTTATGTGATTGGTTTTGTGGGTTTTTAATTAATTGGGTTAAGGGTTGAGTTTTTGCTGTTGATGGGTGTAGAAGTTTGATTAATCATTCTAATTCTTGTTCTGCTTAGTTGTTTCTTGTTGATAATGTTCGTGATTCGTGTATTTGGTCGCTGAATAAATTGCGTGCCGGATGGAGTTTGAAATTGTTTTTTTTTTCTTTTTCTTTTTTGGTTTGTAAATCAATTATCAATGAAAGTTTATATTTTTGAATTGCGTTAGTGGGTGATTTTCGGTTTGTAGAGAATCCACTTTAAGAATGAGAACAAGGGGTCTTTAGATCTAGACAAACACTTTTAGATTACCTACACTTTGAAAATACTCCATATATTGTCTAATGAGGATGGGTATCCAGTAAATATAAACAATTTAGACTGTTTCTATGATTTTCATTCTACATAGAACTATAGAAGTCCTTGCTTGTAGCAAATGCTGTGTATTTAGTAGACTGCTATTGGAATTCAGTTCCTTTGAGTTTTTTTTTTTTTTTTTTTTTTTTTTTTTTTTTTTAATTCATTATCACTGCCATTGTATAGTTCTAGTTATATGGGGTTTGAGTTAATACCAGCTGGACCTTCGAGTATAGTTGCACCGCCACATTTAGTCCTAAAGTTCAATTGGTCCTTCAACTTTTAAATTTAACTAGTTATGGTCCTTCCCTTAGTTTAAGGGCAAAGTTAGGACCAGGTTAAAAATTTGAAAGTTGAAAGGACCATGGGTGGTTAACTTTAAAGTTGAAGGACTATGGGTTGTTAAATTTGAAACTTGAAGGACTGCAAGTGGTTAAATTAAAAGTTTAGGACTAAACATGTCGGTGCCACTATACTATGAGGTCCCCAACTGGTATAGTCGAATTTGTTTTGTTTATGTATGATGGGCATTTGCTTAATTTTTTGTTGTTGAAAAATGTACTAGGTCATGGCTGGGAAGCGAGTTATAGCCATATGCCAATCGGGTGGTGAGTTTGAGGCTGATAAGGATGGGTTACTCTCCTATAAAGGCGGAGATGCTCATGCTATGGAAATCGATGACCAAATGAATTATGAAGATTTCAAGACGGAGGTAGCTGAGATGTTTAGCTGTAGTCTCGCTACCATGTCCATTAAATATTTCCTCCCCAGCAACAGGAAGACTCTTATCACCATCTCCAATGAAAAGGACCTTAAGCGTATGATCAAATTCCACTGTTCATCTGAGTCTGCCGAGATATATGTTATGGCTGAAGAACCAGTTGCTCTCGATGTGTCCAACATGCCAGCCAGTAGGTTGTTTTCTTACTGTCTAGTGATGCACATCTTTATTCCTTCCACAGATAAAATATGTTTGGGGCCTTATCTTGCAGGTCAAGCCGGACAACTTTGTCAGAATCTGGCGTTCCAGTTGATGCCCCACCAAGCGTTACAGAGGATATTGTGGATGACCCTGACCAACCCGTCCTTCTGCTCGATGATGCCTTTGATATCGTTGGTGACACGAGCACCGCTGATGCTCAAATGGAGATGTCTGCTGAAATGCCTGTCCCCGTTTCTTTTGCTGTTAACTACAACGAGAAGAACGCGAAAGCTGCTCAGCAATGGCAGAACAGTATTACGGGTGTGGGCCAAAGGTTCAATACTGTACATGAATTCCGGGAAACACTGCGCAAATTTGCAATTGCAAACCAATTTGCTTTCAAGTACAAGAAGAACGACAGCCATCGTGTGACTGTGAAATGCAAAGCAGATGGGTGTCCATGGCGAATTCATGCTTCAAGGTTGTCAACCACTCAACTAATTTGTATTAAAAAAATGAATCCTACCCATACATGTGAAGGAGCTGTTGTTACAACGGGGTATCAGGCAACGAGAAGTTGGGTGGCTAGTATTGTAAAGGAGAAGCTGAGAGTTTTCCCGAATTACAAGCCTAAGGACATCGTCAATGACATCAAACAGGAATACGGGATCCAACTAAACTACTTCCAGGCATGGCGTGGTAAAGAGATTGCCAAGGAGCAGCTTCAAGGCTCGTACAAGGAGGCATATAGTCAGTTACCACTCTTCTGTGAAAAGATCATGGAGACGAACCCTGGCAGCCTTGCAACATTCACGACTAAAGAGGACTCGAGTTTTCATCGGCTCTTTGTGTCGTTCCATGCTTCATTGTACGGCTTTGAACAAGGCTGCAGGCCTCTGCTTTTCCTCGATGGTATATTTTTGAAGTCAAAATATCAAGGCAATCTTTTGGTAGCAACAGCTGCTGATGGGAACGATGGTGCTTTCCCCGTAGCCTTTGCTGTAGTGGACACAGAATCTGATGATAATTGGCATTGGTTCCTACTCCAACTGAAAACCGCACTGTCTATGTGTCGTGGTATTACTTTCGTGGCCGATAGAGAAAAGGGGCTAAAGAAGTCCATTGCCGACATATTCCAGAACGAGGATGTCTTCCATGGATACTGTATTCGCTACTTGTCTGAACAGCTAATTCGAGATTTAAAAGGACAGTTTTCTCATGAAGTTAAGCGTCTGTTAGTTGATGATTTTTATAATGCTGCTTATGCCGCTAAACCCGACAGCTTCCAGACGTGCGTTGAAAGCATCAAAGGTATTTCACCGGAGGCTTATAACTGGGTTATGCAAAGCGAGCCTGTTCACTGGGCAAATGCATTCTTTCCCGGGACACGATATAACCACATGGCTTCAAACTTTGGCGAGATTTTCTATAACTGGGTAGCAGATGCACATGAATTGCCAATCACCCAGATGGTCGATGCTATACGAGGTAAAATCATGGACTTGATATATGGCAGGCGGACAGACTCGAACCAGTGGATGACAAGGCTAACGCCATTCATGGAGGAAAAGCTCGAGAAGGAAAGCCTTAAAGTTCGGTCTCTTCAAGTGTTGATGTCGCCTCGTAATAAGTTTGAAGTGCACGGGGAAACGGTGGAATATGTCGACGTGGATCACTGCGATTGCAGTTGTAGAGGATGGCAGCTCTCGGGCTTACCTTGCTGCCATGCTATGGCTGTGATTAGTTGTCTTGGCCGAGATCCATACAGCTATTGCGCTAGATACTTCACGACAGATAGTTACAGGTTAACTTATTCGGAATCCGTGCACCCGATTCCAAGTTTAGATAGCCTTTCACATAACAACGCTTCTTCACAAACTGTTGTAACTGTAACCCCTCCTCCAACTCGTCGCCCACCAGGCCGGCCTACTACTAAGAACTTAGGCCCGAACGAAAGGCGGCAAGTTCAATGCAGTAGATGCAAGGGCATTGGCCACAACAAGTCGTCTTGCAAAGAAGGCGTGCTGGAGAGCTAGCCTAGTTTATGTAGAGGTACGTAGTAGTCGAGAACTTTCTAGATGTTTATGAGGCATAATTGCGTATATCTATTTGTATATGCGAATGCAGCAAGATTGATTCTATGTTATAACTTATTATATAAGAGAGAGACTGATTTGTTTCCATAGATTGCCAATTCATTTGCCCTATTCTTCTTCTTCTACATCTACCTCTTCTTTGAAGAATTTCTATGTGAACACAATTAAATCACTCACTCAATCTTATTTCAATCTTTTAGCCAATAAAGAATACAGGTTGAAAACAATGACCTATCATATCAATCTACACAAAATACATATAACAAACCAGAATATCAGAAAAGAAAAATAACCATTTGAATATAAAGCCCAGAATCCCAGATTAAGATCTCCATTGCCTTGCCTTCTCAAACCCATTCTTGCAATGCCTGTAATCCTCAAAAGCCTGTTGAATTTCTGCTTGTGTGTTCATCACAAAAGGACCATATTGCACAACTGGTTCATTCAATGGCTGCCCGCCTATCAGAACAAATCTCAGTGGCTTCGAGGACTGGTTCCACACACTTAAACCCTCCCCACCACCCAAAACCAAGCAGTGGTGAGCCAAAACCGGTGGCGAATTCAGGCCGCCAAAAACCCCTTCTCCTTCAATAATGTACACAAAAGCGTTCCAAGATTCTGGGATGGGTTGATGGTGTTGAGCCATCGGTTTTAGTGTGAAATCAAGGAACATCGAGGGAGTCCTTGTATAGACCGGAGATTGAACACCCATTGCTTCTCCTGCTATAACTTTCACTTGTGTCCCATCCCTTTCTGCCCTAGGAATGTCCTTGTCCAGCAATTCTTGATACCTTGGCTCAATCCTAGGAAATTGTTTCAGACACATATGAAGTTAGAAGCAAATGGTGTTTAGGAAACATAATAATGTTTGGCTGATGAATGTTAAACAAACAATACAGTAATGCCAACAATGTTCTGTTGGGCGGAGGCCAGTAAGGGCCAAATCCGGCCAACACCATGTGGCTAGGGAGATTGTTGGGCGGAGGCCAGTGAATGGTTAAGTCCAACACCCTAGCTCTTGAAAATGTGTAGCGATATAAGGAAATAAAGTTGCTCATTCGCTACTAGTTATAGCTTTTGGCGTAATGATAAACGTTTGATCTTAACAAGTAGTATCAGAGCAAGTCACGGGAAACTGTGCAATTAAAACTGGCAGGTGCTGGGATGAGGAATTGTTGGGCGCCTCTGCTACGCGTTTGATCCTAACATGTTCAGATCTTTCAAAAACTCTTTTTGTCAACTCATATGAGCAATTAACCACAATGCAATTTACTGATATGATGATGTCTTACATTTTGTTCTTGGATGAGAGATTTATCCAGAGTTGCAAGCCCTTATTTGCACCTTCTTTTGCAGGCATTTCTGAGTGCATTATACCTCTTCCTGCTGTCATCCACTGAATGAATCCAGAAACCACAATTTTTAATTATATATATATATATATACTTGATGATACATATCCTTTTTTCTTCTCAAACAAATGATTGAAACTCAAGGACCTACCTGCACATCACCAGCTCCAATTGTACCCTTGTGCCCACCAAAATCTTGATGAGTAAAAGCTCCCTAAATAAGCAAGATAGAACTTCAGTCACTTCTGAGGTTTTGTATCCATTTTGAACCAACCAACCACAATGTTACAAATTCGACTCCTAGTAAGAGCGGCCTATTAGCCTTCTTGGTTTAAACCAATCAATTATGGAAAACCTAGGTTAGTTTACCTCCTTGTGATCCTCGGCTAAGGGCACAAAGCGGAGTTTAATTACCCAGTGACACACCTTCTAGTAGTAGTTGTGGGTTTTTCTTGTTACAAAATAATAATAATTGGAACAAAGAGAGTAGTTAACAATTTAACATACCTCCAACATATATGTTACAGTCTCAAAACCTCTATGGGGATGGTCAGGAAATCCAGCAGGTTGGGACACTGTTACATCAAACAGGGTACAATATAATCTCATTATCAATCTTTTTGAACTCAAGAATTTAACATGAATTCAAGATTGCAAATAATTTCATGGAAATTGAATGAATCAATCAGTCACCTTCGAATTCATCCAACATGAGGAATGGGTCAAGGTTCTTCAATTCAGGCCTGAAAAATCAGACCCACAGAAGAAGAAATTACATACAAAATCTGCAGAATAATCCCAAATCTTGGAAATGAAAGAACAGATAATCTGGAAATGAATATATACCTTCCAATGCTTCTCCTGACAAGAGCACCATCACCCTCACTCTGGGGATTAGCCAAAACCCTTTTAACAATTGATCTTGGGCGATTAAACCCCGACAACAAAGAATTATCAGACATGGTATTTCTGATCGAGTGATAGTAACAGTAATTAGCAGCTGATGACTTTGGTAATATTGCTTTGGTTTTTGTTGTCTGATAAAGACCCAGAAAACTTTTAGATATGGCTTTCATGTATTGATTTTGTGTGTGCCAGTTTGCATTCAAAAATCTGGTATTTATAGTAATTTATAGGTGTGCGGTTTTGAATAGATTCTAAAAGAGGTTTCAAATGTGAAAGAGGAATATCTGTCAATCTGTGATTGTTAGTTCTCAATTTGACGTTTCGAGATTTCGCTGATCTCAAGCTCATGTCAGCATGACAAGAGCCGGCCGGCCGGCCGGCTGGCGCATCTATGACGTGGCATTTAACGGATGATGACGTCATTAATACGTTGGGAAACTTTTCCTCTTTGTTAACTCCAAGGAATTAGGAAGGAAATGGATTACAATTCGGTGAAAACAAAAATAAGGTATGAATAGTGTAGGAATTCAAATTACATTGTTTGGTATGAGAAATAGAATTATTGGGAATGAGAAAGAAAAAAATGATATAAAGGTTAAAACGTCCTTATGTCCATAAGAATACAATCATCGAGGGTATTTTTATCCTTTCATCCATTTTTCCTTTTCCAAAAGCATTGAATTTACCCCATGAATTGCAATTCAACAAAAGAACTACAACCAAACACGGTAATTTAATTTGTCTTGCAATGAAATAAAGTAGGAAAAGAATTACAATTATATCCAACCAAACACCCCCTTATAGAGTTTTTTGCACTTTTGGTTCAACGACTATGGTGTCACTACCGACTTTGATTCACGACTTTTAAAACTTGTAGAATTGGTCCATGATTATGACTTTCTTAGCAATTTTGGTCCTTCCGGTGCATTTTTTGTTCAATTTTTACCAGAAAATTATACTCTCCATTTTAACATGGGCAATATTGTCTTTTCTATTTCACAAATTAATGACATAAATAAATAAATAAACAGCTAAAAAATTTTGACGTTACGAGGAGGGTGAAACTAAAAGTGGAATTGAAATTGGGTGACTTTTAATTTCAATCACCGTACCACTAATTGTGTTTAATTAATTAATTATTTATTTATTTATTTATGTCATTAGTTTGTGAGATGGAAAAGACAATATTACCATGTTAAAATAGGAAGTAAACTTTTCTGGCAGAAATTGAACGGAAAGTGCACCGGAAAGACCAAATTTGTTAAGAAAGTCATAGTCGTGGACTAATTCTACAAGTTTTAAAAGTCGTGGATCAAAATTGTTAGTGACACTATAGTCGTGAGACCAAAAATGCAAAAAACTCCTCCATTATATTTCGAGTTTCGACATTTACGGCCAGTTTGGTTCACGAAAAATATTTGAGGGGAAATAAAATTGAAATTCTATGAAAAATGAATTACCAGGAATATTAATTACTGGGAATATTGGTTCCATTATTTGGTTGAGTTTGGAATGTAAGAAATAATGAGTATAAAAATAATTATATTATACCTCTACACAATAATAAGAACAATAATTATAATGGTAATTAAGAAAAATTGGTGAGGACATAATTATCCTACTTGTTTTTCATGAAAACAAAATACCAAAGGGAGGTCATGGAAAATGTTTTTCATTGAACCAAACAAATAAAAGTCAGTTTTCCTCAAATTCAAGGAAAATATTTTCCTTGGAAAACATTTCCAGCGAACCAAACATGGCCTTAGGGTGTGTTTAAAAATCAGGAAACTAACTTCTAAAAAATGTATACGGAATTATATAATTAAACATTTTATATTACTGTAATTGTTTTGTTTAGAATATAACAATATAATAATAATAATAATATAATAATAACAATTTTAAATATAATAAAAAAAATAACTAACAAAATATCAAAATAACTAACCAAAGTCTTGCAATTCAAAATAACAAATCAAAACAATCAAAGTTTTTACAAGAGTTAATACCCAAAATAGTCCCTCGACTATGTCGTAATTACCAATTTGGTCATCGACTATCATTCTTACCCAATTAAGTCCTCAACTATACAATTTTTACCCAATTTAGTCCTTTGTCAATTTGACTGTTTGTTGACTGTCAAAAGTGGAAATAAAGTTGTAATTTTACAAGTTTTCTCCTTCCTCCTCATTTAGCAGCGTCAAACCATGTAGCAATAAGCTCCGGTTGGGTTCTAAACCTGTCAGTATCTAAGTAGTGGTTATGCATCGGATAGCCCATGAATTTGATTTCCAACGATTTTTTGACGATCGAAATCTGATCGGAGTGTATTGCTGCATGGTTTGGCGCTGATAAATGGAGAGGAAGGAGAAATCTTGTAAAATTATAATTTTATCCCGACTTTTAACAGTCAACAAACAGTCAAATTAATACAGATGACTAAATTGGGTAAGAATTGTATAGTTGAGGACTAAATTGGGTAAAAATTGTATAGTTGAGGACTTAATTAAGTAAAAGTTACATAGTTGAGGACTTAATTAGGTAAGAATGGTAGTTGAGGACCAAATTGATAATTATGACATAGTCGAGGGACCATTTTGGGTATTAACTCTTTTTACAATTCACAATTACGAACAAATATTACTAAAAAGTCTTGCAATTCATAATAAAGTCTTAGAATTTACCCATAACCAAATAAAAAGTCATACATAATATAACCCAAAAAAGAAATAAAGCTTTCAATCCATTTTCTCTTCAAGCTTATAGTTTTCACTTTGAAAATTCTTATTTGAACTTCATTTATCATCAGAAATTAAAATGCTTTACATAAGTCCTGCTCATGAAAGTCATCACCTATTTTCATCACTTGCTAATACAATTTATTTTCATCAATACCATCGATACTCAATGAAACTAATGCCCAACAAAAATAATAATAATTCAGTCCATCCGTCCGTTTTGATATTTCTAATAATTAAACACATTAGCACTAGATTAATGTTAGCAGATTTTTTGACTAAATGCATATGCCTCTATTTAAATTTAAAGATTTTGTTGAAAAATGAGACTTTTGCCTTGATGTAGTATATACGATCAGATACCACATACAGTACAGTACTAGGGGAGATGTCAGGTCGGATCCCTCTCCTAGTCTGCTTGTTGGTTTAAGTTCTCGAGCTCGGAACTTTATGACAGTGGGTCGATGCCTTCGAGCTTAGAGTACTAGTTCTGAAGTAGGTGAAAAAGGTCATCCCTCAGCAATAAATGCGGTAATTATAGAAGGAGAAAGGATACAAGTCTCGGGCCCTCGGCATGGCAAATTATGTTGTGCATCCGTATGCACCATGATGCAAAAACGACGTCGTTTTATAAAAACGCGCGTCTCCCCTTAAAAAAAAAAAAATCAGGTTCGATTCCCAGCAACAACATATAAACTAAAATTCCAGAATCGATGAACTATAATTCCAGAATCGATGAACTATAATTCCAGAATCTATGAACTAAAATTCCAGAATCTAATAATCTATGAACTAAAAATTCCAAAATGAATGAACTAAAATTCCAGAATCTATGAACTAAACTTTCAGAATCGATGAACTACAATTCCAGAATCGATGAACTATAATTCCAGAATCAATGAACTAAAATTCCATAATCTATGAACTAAAATTTTAGAATGAATGAACAACATAATGTTGTTGCTGAGAATCGAACCTGGATTTTTTTTTTAAGGAGATCGGAGACGCGCGTTTTTAATAGAACGGCGTCGTTTTTGCATCTGTATGCACCATGCATGGTGCATACGGATGCACAGCATAACTACTCCCTCGGCATGGGGGGCACATGGTGCCCATGCACAGGCCTAGACCGGTGCCAAAAGGGTCCTAAACATGTGTCGTAATACTACTAACGAGACGAGACCATGCTACGAAGTTAACTAGATTGGACCGACCTAATGAGGTCGGTACTCAAATTAAACTCTTAGAGATCTACGAGCACGCCCTCCAAGGTAGTCGGGTGAGCGCTGAGGTCGAGAGGCTTAGAGGGTACGATAAGATCTGGTCAGGTCGATACCCTTAGGCGTCGAGGACCCATAACCGACCGTCTAACCTAGAGTTGCGGAATAATCCCTATCATACATACTTTATAATTTTGTATATATAGACATTTAATTTTGATGAAATTGTTTTGCATTTTGACCTTTTTTTTTCGTTTAAGTGTGTACGCTCTACTTTTATCTCATTGAAGAAAAAATGTACTTCAATTAAATTTGAAATAAACAAAAATTTGTTTTATTAAGCTTTATTACATAATTATTAAGTGTTGAAAGGCAATTCACATTTTATCATAATTTGAAGTAAACGCACCGTTAAAGTTTAGTCCACAATGAAACCGACCTGTTCATGATAGGGTGGGTGACTCAGAATGGTCTTTGTCTAATTGTCTTCCACGTAATGTTCATTTACTTTCCATTAAAAAAATATGACAATATTTTTAGAAGAAAACAAAAGACATTACTAAATATGCCCTGACATATCTAATTACTTTTTTTTTTTTTTTTTGGAAAGGACATATCTAATTACCACGTTCTTATTTTGCGCGGGGAACGAAAGGAAACTTGTCATGTCACATTGAGAAACGACGCCGTTTCTTTGTTCAAAAAGTCAAAGCTGCCCTTGTTTTCTTCTTCCCCGCTCGACCCTCCTAAACCCTAGTTCTTCTCTCTCACCTGAAAATAACATTCCGACGCGTATTCTCTCTCTCTCTACTTTTCTCACCATAAACGTTTCTCAATCTTTTCTCCAAAATTATTCAAAATCCCTATACATACAGAGTGTTGATACATAGGAGTGTTGATAAATTCAAATGTTCAGGTATCTGACGGCGCCACCGCAATGATGATGATGAGACAAGACTTTTCTGCCGGCGGCGGCGGCGCGGCGGCGTCGGACCCCAACTGTTGCCGGAATTGCGGCGTCAAGGAACGGCCGCTTCACGAAGTCTGCCACCGGGGAAACTTCCGGAAGGTCTGCACTTCCTGCGTCCTAAGGCTCCATCCGCAGTCCTTCTGCCCTACCTGCTTCACCGTTTACAACCCTTCCCAACCTCATTCCTCCATGAACGACGTCGTCACCTGCTTCAAGTGCTACTCCGCCTCCCATTCCCAGTGCGTGGGCCCCAGCCCCCCGACGCCTTACGTTTGCCCCATTTGTGTTAGCCCTAATTCGCCGTTATTTGCCCCGAAGAGGACCAAGGACGCGAATGCGGATGGAAAATTTGAGAATGATGATAATAGCTTCAGGGTCGTTGACAAGAAGGCGGCGAGGGTTTTTCTGGCGGCTGCTAGGATTGCAGTCATGTCGACTAGTAAGGCAGCTTTAGCTGCTAAGGCAGAGGCCGAGAAGCGCGCCAAGGAGGCTGCTTTTACAAGGAAACGCGCAAGGGAAGCTTTGGAGCACTTGTCGAATCTCGTGGCCATGGAAAAGATGAGGAGAAAGGAGTTCTTATTGCCGCCTCCAGATGTCTCGCAGCCTGGTGGTTTAGTGCATATGAGCGACAATAAAGGTTGGAATATGGGCACTGCTAAGATGCCAGCAGCTGTTCAAGTTCAACATGATGATAGGAATAGATTTCGTAATTTAAACAGGGTAGAAACTTCTAGTGATGTTTTGGCAGCACTGAATGCAGTTGGTCTGAGGGAGAGGGAGAGGTTGCAAGAGCTGGAGGTTCAAAATCCAGCGAAAAATGTCGACATGATGGATGTGGAGGAGAATGGGGGATCAACAATGGCTTCTGATTTGGTTAATACGGGATCGGTTGTTCAGAGCCATGGTGGTGGGATCCAGATTGACAAGTCTGGAATTGTGGGTAATGTGGATAACGTTGAGAATTGTAATGGTCGGGGTATGAGAATAAACAATGGGACAGTTCCTATACCACCTGTGGAGGATAGAAATCAGCAGATCCAACGTATTCATTCTGGGGAGCAGATTGATAGTTCCTTGAAACAATAACTGGTGATACCCGCAATGTGTTAAATGGACAAGGTCTGGTTTTGATGAGATGATCTGAAAATTGTCCAATTGAATGATTGTTTTGTGTTTATTTATGTTTGTTCTCTTATTGCAGGCTATATGTGGTTTGCACAGAAGCTATTTTTCTGGAACTTCATTGGAATATGGACAGGGGCATATTTGTGTGAGTTGTTTATGAATGATAGATTAAGGAAAATTTATCCTTGTGCAGTTGCTTCAATTATGTTTAGAGCCTAGTTTCATGTAAAAATGTTCTTGAACATGTTCTTATGACACATGCACTTTTACTGCAGTCTAGTTTAAATCTACCAAGGAGTTTACTTTAGTTCAGGAATTACCTCTTGGCACACCTTTGGATTTTATTGTCACCATAAAAAACAAGCTTGCCCCTGCCCCCAAAAAAATCCAGCTTAAAATTGTCTATTTTGGTATGGCTACTTCCCTCTAACGTATCTAAGTTGGCCAAACCTACATAGTTTTAAGTGATTGAAGCATCAATTGCTTGAAGAATTCCCCTAGAAACAATCTTTTGTTGAACTTGTGATTAGCAGGGGCTTGTAAATGAATTCTAGTAAAAGCATTATTGTGGAGAATGAACTAATGAATTCAGATGATTTGGGTATAGTTATACAACATATCAAATGGATTTTCTCTGATCTGTATTAAAGTTATAATACATTTTCATGTATTACTCTATTAAAACAATAAATAGGAATGATAAAGAATTTGCTTGACTTTTAACTTCGGTGAATATAATTGACCCAGAAGTAGGTTGATTGCCCTCATATTTTGCAACTAACTTCTAGCTTTCTTAAAAACAGTTAAACCATGTCAAGCCATCCGTTCAATACCTGGTATCTTCATATCATTCCATAGCATTTTGAGTACATTTATTGGAAGCATTTGGAATTAAAAGTTAAATGTAGCCTTGATGTGAATTTTACTTGACCAGAGGAATATCAACTTTGTAATTTGGCAGGTATGTTTTTGAATCCAGATAAATATGGGTTAGGGGTTTAGGTTCATTGTTCGAGTATCCAATTTGCTGGAATTGGAACCGAATAGTATTTTATCATTCAGTTACTTAGGCAGATGGATTAAGATTCTAGGCACATGATGCTCTCCTTTATTGAGGCACGTTTTATACTTTCTCAATATTTTTCAGCCCAAAGAATCAAGCTCCCACCACTGGGGTTCGATCTTGTGACCACCCATTTGAAATAGTAGCATAGGTGCCATCACACTACATAGTAGTTGGCTACTCTTGTTAGTTTTGGGTCAGTATATGATGTTATGCTTCCTATCCACTGTTTTATGAGTTGTCAGGTTCAATGAAGTTCATTGTACTTTCGAATTTAGATCATTCTGCTGTGCTCTTGTTATGTTTTTCGTATTTTATTCTGTTCTGCTCCATTTTGACATGCAGCAATCAGCATTCTATTTATAATTTGGTTGGTTAAAGAATGGCTTATTATTCCCCTTTTCTGCTTTTGATTTTCAAGTTGGTTTAAGTCATTCTTGCTCCTTATGCTACATGGTGTTTGATGAGTGCACATTTTTGGATTTGCCTAATCATATACTTTGTTTCTGCATTTCTTTCCCTTGTTCTCCTGGCTACTTTCTCAAGAGCACCCTTTTATGGTGGGATGCCAAAAATCATTACCATATATTGTTGGAGTTGTTAGGATATTCATATTATTACTAGTTTTTTGTATTACCACTCTGATCTTCACAATATGCATATTATTACTTTATTGCTCCTAGAGTGCACATTATTTGTGCGTCTTGCAGAGGATGTATATTATGAATATGAATGTTTTAAAACTCCTGCAATACTTGTTTATTACGGAGTACTATAATGTTTGTTGTGGAGTACTTTTGAGGTAAATATGCGCAGTGAAGATTGTAAATCATATTATTGTTTATTACAACTCAGCATGACATAGCTTATAGTTGTGAGTTTAACATAGAAATTTAATTTGAAGCATTATGTCATATGCTGCATGTTTGACTTACAGAATAAATTTTAAATATTACATAATAACACAATACTCAAAAGAGTTTTACTACATAGACTTTCAAATCATACTTCCTAAATTTTACTCCTTAATGTGGTGGGCACTAATAAATTACTTTTTTCATGTGCGTCTCAATATAAGTGTTTACATTAAAATTTTGTGTGTGAGTAAAAATTAGGAGTAAGTTAATTTTATAATTATTAAAAATTTTATGAACGAGGTTCATTTTTTAATTATTGCAAACTTGAATATTTAGTAATGAACTAATGGTACATTTGATTTTTCAAAATTAAGGGTATGAATAATTTCTCACACACACACACACACACACATATATATATATATATATATATATATATATATATATATATATATATATATATATATATATATATATATATATATATAGAGTTAATACCCAAAATAGTCCCTCGACTATGTCGTAATTATCAATTTGGTCTTCGACTATCATTCTTACCCAATTAAGTCCTCAATTATACAATTTTTATCCAATTTAGTCCTTTGTCAATTTGACTGTTTGTTGACTGTCAAAAGTGGAAATAAAGTTGCAATTTTACAAGTTTTCTCCTTCCTCCTCATTTAGCAGCGCCAAACCATGTAGTAATAAGCTCCGGTTGGGTTCTAAACCTGTCAGTATCGAAGTAGCGGTTATGCATCGGATAGCCCATGAATTTGATTTCCAATGATTTTTTGACGATCGAAATCTGATCGGAGTGTATTGCTGCATGGTTTGGCGCTGCTAAATGGAGAGGAAGGAGAAATCTTGTAAAATTATAATTTTATCCCGACTTTTGACAGTCAACAAACAGTCAAATTAATACAGAGGACTAAATTGGGTAAGAATTGTATAGTTGAGGACTAAATTAGGTAAGAATTGTATAATTGACGACTTAATTGAGTAAAAGTTACATAGTTGAGGACTTAATTGGGTAAGAATGGTAGTTGAGGACCAAATTGGTAATTATGGCATAGTCGAGGGACCATTTTGGGTATTAACTCATATATATATATATATATATATATATATATATATATATATATATATATATATATATATATATATATATATATAGTCGTGGGCACGCACTTTGCGCGAAACGTTATGCCTAACAATCAATTAATATGTTCTAATTTTTTATTTTTTATTTTTAAAATGAGTATGTTTTAATTTTTAAATAATAATATATATAATTTTTAATAATTGTTATATGACAAAATAAATAAGAATACATAAATAAGTTATTTAGATACCAACAATACAAGAATTGAATTAGGAACATGCGGGAGGGCATTAGATTTGGTTTTGAGGGAGAGAATTGAGATGTTAGCTAGAATAATGTAGTGATTTTCTTTAAAAAATGTAAAAAAATAAAAAATAAAAAAAAAATAAAAAAAAATGGAGTGTTGGAGTGATGTAGAAAAAAGAAGACAAAGGTCACATAAGGCAAAGAAGAAGAAGACAAAAAAGTAATGGCAAAGTTGTTATTTCTTTAAAAATTAAGGGCAATTAAAATGAAAAAATAAATCAAAAATTAGATCAAAAAATCTCATCCATTAAATTTGAAATCAATGGTAAACAAGGGGTGTCATTTTTTAAGGGCAAATGACATATATATATATATATATATATATATATATATATATATATATATATATATATATATATATATATATATATATATATATATATATATATATATATATATATATATATATATATATATAGGCTCGCTCAAGTGAGAACAGTCGCCCAAGAGAGGTGCGAGTACTTTGGTGTAAGTAAATGTGTTATAAGTACAAGTATCTTTGCAAGTAAAATCACTTATAAGTGCAAGTAATTTTTCCTTGTTAACATTCGTGCACATAGATACAACTATTTATAACTATAGATGCATCTAGTTTATAACGTTAGGTGCACTAAGTATTGATGCTCAGTGTAAATTTTACTTGTACATGTAATACATTTTACATGCACTTATAATAATTACTTGCACTTAGGTGCACTATATGAAACTGCTACTTGCACTTGTAATGCATTTTCTTGCACTTCGATGTTCAATTATTTACGAAAATGTCACCACGTTTAAAAAAAAAAAAAATCAATGTTTCTAATCCATTAATCTTGAAATGTGGATGGATGGCATACATTCTCATTTTTTTCATAAGCAAGGCGTTCTCACTTTTATATATATATATATATATATATATATATATATATATATATATATATATATATATATGTGTGTGTGTGTGTGTGTGTGTGTGTGTGTGTGTGTGTGTGTGGGGGGGGGGGGGGGGGGGTGGAAGGGTTCAGGTGCAGGTAGCTTCCCGTGCGATTGTGCGATTTTCTCTGAGCCGTTGATCAAATCTAGATCAACGGCTCAAATCAATGAAAATTAAAATAAATAAATAAAACACGTGTCTGGAATAAAGAAGCATAAGCTAAAAATGGCGCACCTTAAGTGATAGAAACACGCATCTTAAGTGTTAGATCTTAAGCACAAACTCACACACATTAAGTACAAAACTCACACACACTAAGCACAACCTCACGCACACTAAGCATAAGCACAAAACTCACGCACTTTAAGTATTAATTCACATACCTTAAGTTTCAACAACTACTGACATTAAGCACAAACTCACGCACATTAAGTACAAAACCCACGCACATTAAGCACAACCTCACGCACATTAAGCACAAAACCCACGCACTTTAAGTATTAACTCACAGACCTTAAGTTTCAACAACTACTGACATTAATCACTACCCTCACACACATTAAGCACAAACCCTACGCACATTAAGCACAAACTCCACTCACATTAAGAACAAATCTCACGCACATTAAGCACAAAAGCTCACACTTTAAGTTTTAACAACTACTCACATTAAGTACAACCCAACGCACATTAAGCACAAAACCCACGCACCTTACGCACAGGGCTCACGCATCTTATATACAAAACTCACGCACATTAATCACACCGCTCACCTTAATTTTGACCTAGATGCAAAAATTACAAAATTGCCACCGCATTTTTTTTTAAATTTTGGTAATCCTGGACGTTGATGTAAGCGAGATGAATGGCCCAGATTAAACCACACAACCGCACCTGGACACCCTAACCGCACCAGAACCTAATTCTATATATATATATATATATATATATATATATATATATATATATATATATATATATATATATATATATATATATATATATATATAACATGAATAAGGTATCTAATTTGGGACATAGGAGATAATATTACACAAAACATTTACAGTTTACACAACTTGAGAAGAAATTCAAAAAATAAAAAGATAGATAGATGATCTACCTTCTTTTATTTTAAATTTTGAACTTTGAAGACTTCAAGTTTTGGACTTTCACCAAAATCACCACGACCTGAGAAGTGAGAATTTAGGGTTTCCACTACCACAGTACACCAAGGGTCCATTGTCCATGACCACCACAAATCCAAGACCACAAAATGATATACCTTCTCTATTTCTCTAACACTCACAAGATTCAGGACCACAAGCCACCATAATTAAGACTTCCGTCGATATGGAAGAATTTCAAAGAGTGAGAGTGTTTGTGTGAGAGCCGGATTCATAGATACAAATATACTAAATTTACAGAGAAAAGAAAAGAGAACTCAAGAAGTTATAGTTGAGAAAAGAAGAAAGAAGGGAAAAGAGGTTGCACGACATAATTGAACGAACGATGTGTGTGTATACACCAAACGACATGGTATGGATATGCAATTTTCATAGATGATGTGGTAGATTCCACCATATATACGTATTTGTATGTTATTATATAAAGCGTAATTGAATATAGTAGCTCGGGTAGATGGTACCAAAGGTCGGACGTTCCCGAGCAGACAAGTATTCTAGTGGAAGAATTGAGAAGAAGTCTCCTCTTCAAGCGTTCAATGTAGTATTTATAGGAGGACGTAGTATTTATAAGAGGTTGGAGGGGGCACATGCCGGCAGACCGGCATGCACGCCAAGTGTCCGCACTCAACTGTCTTAAACACCAAGGAAAAGTGCATGCACGCCATGTGTCCACACTCAACGATCTTAAAGGCCAAAGAAAAGCGTCCACGTGTAGTGAGATACCTGATTGACCAATGATACCGGCTCGATTTGAGCGCAACTGTTGACGTTCACCTTTAAGGGCCAAGTACACAGGCTCAGGGTCCCCAGCCGAGCAGTCAGGTCAAGATCGAGTACGAAAGAGTAAGAGCAGAAGCTAATTAAGCTAATTGGAGCTTAACTTCCAAATTAGGTCTGTCAGGTAAAATCTTCACGTCGAATCTAGTGGGAAAAAGATCATTGCTATGTGTGGAATCGGGCCCGAGCAGGTGCTCAGTACGGAAGAGTCAGTAACCCGAGATTTCCTATCAATGGGTATTATTATAATCAAATTTTCATAAGATCAAATAATAAAGGATCCAACTCATTCAATCAAACTTAGTATAGTTGTAAGTATTTGAATGTAGACTTCCATATCATATCATTAACCCATAGGACATTTCAATCTTTAGGTTTATACACAACCATAGACTTGATTAATTGTAAATAGAATCTTTGCCAATCCCGCAAGTTATTAGTGGCCCTGAAACACCAATAAAACTTGGACCTCCTCACATTTAGGCATGAGTGCATGACAAGGCGCTTAAACAATCATGTCTCCTAATTTTACAAGGTAGATCATCATTTAAAACGACGTCATTTAAAGGTAGCATGGTTAACGACTATATTTTTGAAAAAAAAAAAAAAAACAACTATGTGTACTCTTCACGCACACACTACCACCATAATGCACTTGTAGTGTAAAATTTGTGTCACTAAACTTTATTTTTATGAACATATATAAAGAATATTATGAACCTACTACAATGTAAATGAAAATATATATGATTTACCTACAGTTAAATTAAATTTATGATCGTATAGAACAAATATATAATATAAACATAATGCACATGTAATGTAATGTTTATGTAGACTAAGCTTTGTTTTTATAAACAAATAGATTGAACAATAAAATCTATTATAGAATGAATGAAAATGAAAATATAAATAAATGACATTGTTGTAAACCATAACTCATAAACAACTTAATATAAAATGACACCGTTCTAAACCAAAACTCAACAACTTAATATAAATCAATACTATTTTAAATCAAAATGCAAAGTTCACCTTGCCACGAGATGGACCCTAGTCCACAATATAATTTGGGCCAATGCAAACTGGCGATCCTATTCCTTCCTTTGGGGAGCAGTACAGCAACTTTTCGTTACAATCCCAGCGCAAAACTTACTTCAACTTTAACAAATTACAGTTATGATAACTATAAAGTCACAGTTAAAGTAGAAATTAAGCCGCAATTAAGTAGCTGCATTATTTTTGTACAGATTCAACACAACTTGGGAATGATCACGAATATCCACAGTACCTGTTATTACATTAAGTAAATAAAGATAAGAAATACATAAAACCCAGTGCCTTAGAATTTCTCTTTCAATAATTCATCATGTTGATCTTTCATCTTTTAGCTAATAATTCTTTCAATCTCCACACAACTCTCAAAGCTGAAGATCTGACTCTTCACCTGTCTGTCATCTATCTTCACAAAGAACACTTACCCAGCATCTTTAAGCTCTTGCTCCACTACTCAAGTACATGATAGTTAAAGGGACCAATGTATGAGAAGTAGTTGAAATAGGGCTCGCACTCTGGCCTTCTTTAGCTGATTGGTGAAGTAGAAGCAAGTCTTGCACCCTAAGTTCATAAGGGCGGGCATTAAAAGTATGGGAAATTTTCCCCTAAGAGGGCATCAAGTCATTGCACTGATTTCTGCCAAAAGGCCCTTCCTTATCCTCATCCTCATCATTGTTTCGTTCATGATGGAGGCAGGGGATGAGAGCCTCGAGTCAAGTTCTTGATCTGTCTTCTTTAATTGCACAAGGAGCACCCAATTACCCACATCCCAACTGAAGATATGATCTATACTCCAAACAAGTTTTCCTTGGGAGGGTAAATCATTTATAAGGGGAATACAGGAGAATTTGGTTACCACAAGACAACAGAATATTCTGAATTTGAGTACCCTGACGAATAAAGTTTATTCCATCCACAAGTACATCAGATTCCATACCTTTTCTGAGCTGAGATTATGATAGGGACACACATCAATTGTTACTCAGCAAGAATGCTTAGGATTTGTTGAAAGCGAGCAATTATAGGAGTTCTGGCTTTGAGCCTCTGTATGTCATAAACATCATTACATACTGTTAGCACAAATGGAATTGTTGAATACACATTTATTAATAAGACAGATGAAGATACTTCAAAATATTAAGATTTGAAAGCACAGGCAAGGCACTATATCAGCAGCTAAGATAATAAAATATTTATCCTGCATAGACAAAAGGAACCCAACTTCAAAAAGATCAACTCATTGGTGCTAACATCACAGAAGCCAGAAATTTTTATTGTAATCCAAGATACACAAATATAAACAAGGTGTATGCTGTCTTCTGGTTAATCACTATGAGCATGTTGCTTTTTTATCCCTGGAACTGTAAGGCATGTAGCTACAAGAAATCTCCAAAAACACAGATTGAATGTGTGTGTGTGTGTGTGTTGGGTGGGGGGGGGGAGGAGGGATTTACCATGCTAAACGTCAGTGCTTACTTGAAAGTTAATTTGCTCGATCCATTGACTAATTGCCATTCCTTAATGTAATTGGTACAGTCATTGATTCAGTCTCTAATTTCTTTCATTTGCAAGTCTCAAAAGGTCAGACAGATGGATGTTGGTCAGTCCATCTTCGAGTTTCCTTACCAATCTCAGAAGCTAACATAATAACATAATTTTGATTGCTTCTTTTTGGTTGCAACTTGCATATAACAGCATCCGATGTCCGTAATCGACAAGCAGTGTTTGGCCTCCTCTTGGCTCAATTTAATGACCCACAGCAGACAACAGCAAACAGCAAAAGACAATTTCAAACTTCTTTTGTTCTCGCTCTGACACTTTCAAAACCAATGCATGCTACACAAGCATAATTATTTGGTCAAATTCCATAATATGCCCGGCGATGACTTGTTTTGAGATGTATGTACTTGAAACCAACTATACACTTCCGCAATATGTTTGCCAAGAGTCCATTCTCTCCCAGAATTCATCAACTGTAACTCTTTTATGTATTTTCCAGAAGTCAGAAGCAAATAGCTAAAGATCAATTAGATCGGTCCCAGCATACCACAAGCATAATTAACTGGCCAAATTCCATAATCTGCTCAGCAATGACTTTCTGTGAAATGTATGTACTTGAAACCAACTAGGACACTTCCACAATATGTTTGGCCAAGAGTTCATTCTCCCAGAATTCAACTGTAACTCTCTGGTGTATTTTCATGTGGGAATCAAGTAGCTATAGATCAATTGGATCGAACCCAGCAGCAACTACTAACAATTGGTGATTTTCAATGTTCCAAGATATGAAAGAGAAATCCAAGACCCACACCATCAAAATGGGAACATTCTGATCTTCAAAATATTAAGCAACAAACAAACCCCCCGCTTCAGTGGATTCTATTGTCCAACTACCACTGACAAAGGAGTCTTTATACTTTCTCCAAGGATAAGAAAAGAGCAGAAGCAGACGAATTAATATACACCTAACCTACTATCTTCTAATTAACAATTGAAGCCGTTGATTCTCCTTGCACTAGATAAGGGGAAAAGGACCAAATTTTAACGTAACCTCAGCTACCAGCATACAGAGACGTTACCACTACTTAAAAGTCCTTCCCATCAATAATCAGTTATCGAAAAACTTAAGTTGCAGCTACCAACTCTGGGCCAGAGTTGGTATCTGCAAGAGCAATCTTAATTGGTTGCCATCCCGAGTGATGATGCATGATCCATTTTTTCATACTGATAATCATGTGCAAGATCTGAAGTATTTCGCCCAAAGCAAGCTCTTTTAAGCACATTTTCTTTATAATAGTAGCTGCTTCGTACCTTGAGAAAGACGAGAATTGTAAATACAATAATGCTTTAAAAGGAACAAAATGCATCAAGTATAAAAGAAATAGAAAACAAGTCACTCATACTTCAGTTAAATTAGGCACTAAAAGGTTTTTTAAAAATGAAAAATAAGTAACTTGACACAAATTGGTAGATTAATCTTGTACCTGCATTGAGTAGCCAACAAAGCAGCTTGTCCAGTAGAAGATGATAGAAAGTTATGAATTTCATCCCAGATTGCTTTTGAATACTTGTTTGGATTTCCACTTATAGGATTTACACACTTCCACAACTTCTCATTCTTGCAAACATATAATTGCAAAAGACCTAAGTTTTGCATTACTACCATCTGATGTTCAACTGCACTCTCAAGAGCTTTCTTAACATCAATATCACAATGTTTTGGATCTCCATAGCGAATACAATCTGCAATGTTTGCTTCAGTTGGCATAATTTTCTCTTTTTTTAGTGTATCCAGGGCAAATATAACAACCCCCACAAGGCTTAGAACATAGTCAGAAGGATTTGAGAACCCTGGGGTCCCCCATACACCATTACTGGATACATTGCAACTACCAATTGCAGATGTCGGTGGTGGCTGAATGTCTGGACTAGGATATGCATACCTGTTGGCTTCCTTTTCATTGAAAAGTGCTGATTTCTTCTGCACCTTATGGCCTTTCTGTGACCCATTCAAGTTTTGATGTCGAGATGAATTCATACTGGGAGATTGTCTAACCTCTCCATTCCATGGTTGAGGAAAAGGAGGATTGTTTCCATTATTGGAGTATTCACCAACTTTTAGCTTACCAATGTCGGGTAAATTTGTTAACGGACTTGGGGTCATATTGGATGCATCAGGCATGGTCATCATATGTGGCGGTCGCAGATGTGGGTTAGGTGGTAATAAATTACCCGGTGGATATGCAGGTAGCATTGGCACATTGTTAGGCCTAGTTGGAGTAGTATAGTAATTTTGATGAGGATTTGTAGGGTTACTACCATTCATCCGAGAAGGTTCAGGGTAACTGATATTTGGAGCAGGTCCAGGACCAGTAAAGGGAATTCTGGAATTGTTAGCAGCAGATAACTCTGGAGAATCATTAAACTGCTTAGGATACCCATATCCTTGTTGAAAGTTCAAATTATTATAATCTTCTTGGGGGCCCATCATCACACTTGAATTTCTTGACATATTAGGTTGAGTCATATTTCGTCGCATTTGTTTGCCCTTATATTTAGTGTCCGTACCCCTTCCGAAGTTGGAGAACTTCTGACTCCCTGAATAGACACTTTCATTGAGTGTATCAACAGACTGGTTGAGCTGGCTGGACTCACTGACTGGCACCAATGGGGTGTCACAATTGGAAAAGTTTCCATAACTGCTATTTACAAACTGCTTTGATTCAGTATTAGTAAGAGCAGGGCCCCCAGCTGAAAGGCTTGTCCAGAGCCATACAGTCTTGGCTGCAGCAACAAGTGCAGCAGATGCTTTTTGAGGTTGTGCTAAAAGAATATTATATCTACGCATGCGCAGCTGGTGGAGAGCATTAGAAAAATCCCGGTCACCAGATATCAATAGATAATTAGCAGGTGCAGGATTGTCAACTGCCCAGAATAACATATCCACCAGAATCTTCTTATCGCTTGCATCTTTAACACCTATTATGAGGAAAAAAGAAACAAATGAGTTAATTCATTTTACAGTGCATGAATATATAAATTGGAGTCTTGGAGACAGATACAACTAGCTTTTATGGAAGAAATGAAATGTAACAAGTCTTTGGAACCTGCAAATCACAAACAGTCTTCATCATTAACAGATTTACTCAAAACCTAAAGCCAATCCCAGTCAAGTGTAAAAACTCAGACCCTGAATCTCCAATCTCTTAGTCATTTCATCCCTCTAAGGTTTCATACTTACATTCTAACATTCTCATCAAAATTCTATTATTAGCATGATCCAACTTATTTTTCCATTAAAAGGGTCAAGTATCATGGGCAATATAAAAGGAGGTGTGCAATTAGCTCTGAGTTTTGAAACCCCAATACATGCAACACTTTGGAAATCAAGGGATATTGAGCACAAAGGTTGAGATATACCATAAATTCCTTAAGAAGTGTCTATGTGGCACATACACCAAACCTGATGGTCTGCATATTAATACAATAATAATACGAGATCTAAAGCATAACCAAATCCAAGATCAAGTAACTCCATCCCACACCTTCCAATAAAACCACAGAAATATTATCAAACAAGTGGCGTGTTAAGCAGATTCAATTAATATATTAAAACAATGAATCTCCTAAAAATGTCCACTAGATCTACAAGAGAATGAAATATGAAATGAAAAAAAAAAAAAAAAAAAAAAAAAAAAAAAGAATTTCTCCCATGAATTAAAGAAATTAATACATAAATTATCAACTCATCAATATCAATACCATTAGTCCATTATTAGTACAAAATACTATCAAGATGTAACTATTATTCACACATAAACTTCTAAAATCACCAAATCAAGCGAATTCACTAAGTAGAACTCAGATCGCGCAACACAACAGCTCTAGAACCAGAATCCATCTAGATCTGAAACCACTCTCACCACAAAACCCCAAATCCTTCACTTAATTACACAAATAACACATACGCAGATCATCAGCTGTATCTAACCACTACAAACACAGAGATACATACCAGCGGGGACATGGTTGAGGGCGATGCCGGTGCTATTGAGGGCCTGCTGAACCGACGGCGAGATCTTGGTAGTATCCCCGTAGGCGGAGATGGAGACGGGGCCGCAGTAGTTCAATTTGACCAACGCCGAGCTAATATTCTGCGCGATCGCGTGCGGATCGGAGCCCCTGGGCACCTGGCAGTTCTCTATGTCCCACCACACCGATATCCTCGCTCCCGAATATAGCGCCTCCGCCGCTTCCGACGGCTGCTGCATCGCCAACGCTCCTCCACCTACTGCTCCGTTCCCGCCCGCTCCACCCATGGATAACGACGATCGCCGCAAAAGGAAAGTCGGAAAGTATAGTGGCTACGACTTTAGATTGTCGGAAATGGCGCACGATAGCAAGCAAGCACAGCTGTGAAGCTTCTAGATTATCCTAGTTCGCTAATTTGTTGGTTTTCAGCGGGCGGAGCCTAAAATAGGGAAAATGAAAAGAAAGGAAATTGCAGTGGAAGCTGGCTTTGCGTTGGATTTTCCGCCCCGCACCGCACTTTCCAATGTTAAATTACGGTCGTGCCCTCTTATCAGACAAGATGACGCATCATTGTGGAAATCCGGGGATTCGTCCAATCCCCGCCGAGTCGACACGTGGACTGACTTTCACATTTTCACCAAATACACTAGGCCGATATTGTAGATCATGGTCTAAATTTTATCCCGATTATGTACTTGCAGTTCAATTGTTATATGAGTTAATTCCATTTTTTATTTCTAAATTATAAGTATGAATTCACTTTTAATCTTTTTTTTATTAAAACATCCTTATTTGATATTAGTATTATTATAACATAATTATTTTTTGTCTTTTGTTAACAAAATCATTAAAATGCAGTTAAATATAAAGATATTTCAATCTATTTTATGAAAAGTAAATTAACTCGTTATATTTTTTATATTTATTTTTTAAAAAAAATTCATAATTGAAGACCAAAACGCCCTTATATTTAATGAAATTAGTAAATTATTTTGTTAATAGATAATCAAAAATGGTCATGCTACAATAATACTAATACCAAAAGTGAATATTTTGAAAAAAAAAATGACTAAAAGTGGACTCTCACCTATAAATCTAGGAACAAAAATGGAATTAACTCGTTATATCATGGACCATGGTCCACCGTCGAACGCAATGATTAATTCCCTCGCTGAATTTTAGGTACCTGACCTGGAGATTTAAGGTTATTCTATACTCAAAAACAATAATTGAACCCTTGATCTTTGATTATAGATAGATAAGATGAGAATATAATTGTGTTGTATTCAATAATAATGTCTGAGAGTACAGGGAGCGAATATATAGAGATGCGAGATAGAATCCTAGTCTAACACGAATAATATAGTCCTAGTCTAATATAGATAATAGAGTCCTAATAGTCCTAATACTCCCCCTCAAGCACAAGGTTGGTCAGACAAAACATTGAGCTTGCAACGGAGTAAATTAAAACGTACAGACGAAAGAGACTTAGTAAAAATATCCGCTATCTGATCTTTGGTAGAAATAAAATTGACTTGTAATTCCTTCTTCGCGACTTTATCACGAACAAAGTGGTAGTCGATCTCAATGTGCTTGGTGCGAGCATGAAACACCGGATTAGCACACAGATAAGTAGCTCCCAGATTGTCACACCAGAGTTTGGGCACAGAAGGTGGCGCAAACCCGATTTCCTTCATCAGAGAGACGAGCCAAGTAACCTCTGCAGAGACATCAGCCAGTCCTTTGTATTCAGCCTCAGTTGATGAACGAGCCACAGTACGTTGTTTTCGGCAAACCCATGAGACAAGATTGGTCCCCAAAAATACAGCAAAACCACTAGTAGATTTGCGATCATCAGGATTGCCAGCCAAATCCGAATCAGAATATGCATGAATATCTAGAGAAGGAGAAGACGTAATCTTAAGACCAAGATGTAGTGTCCCATTTATATACCATAACACCCTCTTGAGAGCCGCCCAATCCGCAGTACAGGGAGAGTGCATGTGTTGACACAAACGATTGACTGCATAGAAAATATCAGGCCGAGTTACCGTAAGATATTGTAGAGCACCTGCAAAGCTGCGATACTGAGTGGGATCAGCGTATGGTACCACGGCATCAGTCTCGGCCTTCGTGGTTGAAACCGAAGTAGCCACAGGCTTGCAATCAACCATACCTGCTTCTTTTAGAATATCCTTCATGTACCGTTGTTGAGACAGAAGCACGCCATCAGACAACGGAATGGTCTCAATACCCAGAAAGAACGAGGGCACACCCATATCACGAACTTTAAACTCAAGAGCCAACTTGTCAATAAGAGCAGTCACATGAGCCGTATCAGATCCCATAACCAAAATATCATCCACATAAACCAGAAAATATAAACGAGTATTGCCATGTGAATATATAAATAGAGAGACATCCGTCTTGGAAGGTGAGAAACCAGCAGAAACCAGAAAATCATGCAAACAAGTGAACCAAGCACGGGGAGCTTGCTTAAGCCCATATAAAGAACGTTGAAGGAGACAAACGTGTCCGGGCATCGTTTTGTCTTCATAACCAGGGGGCTGGCGCATATAAACCGTCTCAGCGAGATTGCCATTTAGAAAAGCATTGTGTATGTCCAACTGTCGAATAGTCCATCCACGAGAAATAGCTAAGGATAAAAGAAGACGTACCGTAGTCGGTTTAACAACGAGACTAAAGGTCTCAAAGAAATCCTCGCCGGCTATTTGATTGAATCCCTTGGCAACTAACCGAGCCTTGTAACGCTCAATCGAACCATCAACCTTTCTCTTGGTTCTAAACACCCACTTACATCCAACTACATTCATACCTGATTTAAAGGGAACAAGCCTCCATGTATCAGTGTGCACCAAGGTATTAAATTACAAATCCATTGCATCCCGCCATTAAGGAAATTTAACCGCTTGAGTAAAACATGTAGGTTCAGGAGTAACAGCAGCAGCAGATAAAGCAACATGATCATGTGGTCCCGAACTTCTCGTATTCATTCCATGAGAGCGAACAGATGAGGGCATGTGACGAGACCGACCACGAGGCCGGCCTTTTGGCCGAGGAGCCGGTTGGTCCGTGACTGTCCGCTCGGACTCGGTCACGGGCTCGGCAGTAGCAGGCTGCTGGCGGTGGTGGTCAGAAGCGGCTATGGGCGCGGCAGGAGGGTCACGAGCCGTGACAATAGTCGGATCACCACCAGAAACAATTGGTGCAACACCCCACGGCTCCGGGCGTGGTTTTGGAACCTGCGAATCCACAGAAGCAACAAAAGGAAAGACAGCCTCATCGAATCGCACATTGTGACAGATAAAAACCTTGTTACTGTTAGTGTCTAAACAACGATAACCACGAAAAGATGGAGGATATCCTAGAAAGACACAAGGGGATGACCGAAACTGTAGTTTGTTGCGATTATAGGGACGTAGATTTGGAAAGCATAAACACCCAAAAACACGCAGATATGAATAAGATGGAGGAGACCGATGCAAAAGATAATGAGGAGATTTATCAGATAAGACAGGAGTGGGCATTTTATTGATTAGATAAACTGCAGTTTCAAAAGCATAATCCCAAAAACGAGATGAGACAGAGGATTGAGCCATTAATGCTAGTCCCGTTTCAACAACATGCCTATGTTTACGTTCTACCCTGCCATTTTGTTCATGAGTATACGCACATGATTGGCTGTGACGAATACCTAAGGACGCAAGAGTGGAACCAAGCTTTTTATATTCTCCCCCTAAATCAGATTGAAAAGAAATAATCTTGCGAGAAAAGGAACGTTCAACTAGTGACCGAAACTTATCAAATATAGCATACAAATCAGATTTAGCACGCATGGGATAATACCACATATAACGAGTGTAATCATCCATAAACAACACAAAATATTTAAAGCCAGACGCAGAAAGTAATGGCGCAGGGCCCCAAATATCTGAATAAATGAATTCCAAATGACGCGTACTAGTAGTTTCAACACGAGACAAAAGAAAACGAGAAGATTTTCCTAATTGATAAGAGGAACAGACATTGGGAAGATCACTAGAATTAAATGTACCAACAGACGAAGACGCTAAAATTTTACGTAAGACTCGAGAATGAGGATGCCCCAACCGCATGTGCCAAACGTAAGAGGACCGTGCAGCAACAAATGCAGCAGGGGAAGCAGAAGACGCATGCCATGTGTAGAGACCCCCAGACGCATGTCCCTTAAAAAGAACCTTCTTGGTCAAAATGTCTTTCACATAGAAACAAAGAGGGTGGAACTCAAAGAAAACATTATTGTCCTTTGCAAAACGCTGGACAGATAATAGAGAAGAAGAGAGACTAGGGACATGCAAAACATCATGTAACTTAAAAGACATAGAATCAGTGGCTAACGAAGCAGAACCAACATTAACAATAGGCAAACCTGTACCATTGCCGACTCGCAGAGTCTCCGGGCCATCATAACTTGTCGCAGAAGTCATCAAAGAAGAATCAGGCGTTGCATGATTTGTAGCACCAGTGTCAAGGAACCACTGATGAGGACCGTTGGAATCACCAATATCACCAGAGACGGTCACATTAGCCTGAAAATCCGGAGCCCCTGAATAACGCCGAAAACAGTTGGCTCCCGTGTGACCAAAACGGTCACAAATTTGACACGGATCATCATAGCGCCAAAAACAATTGGCTCACGTGTGACCAGAATGGTCACAAATTTGACACGGATCATCATAACGCCAAACACAATTGGCTCACGTGTGGCCGAAACTGTTACAAATTTGACACGGATCATCAACGTCACGTCGTTGACCGGACCGCTTCTGATACGATGTATCTTGGTTTGATGCCATCGGCTACTGCTACGAAGTGAGGAACATGAATGTTGGAAAAGAAAAACCCTGGCTAACTAATACCAGATGAGAGTATAATTGTGTTGTATTCAATAATAATGTCTGAGAGTACATGGAGCGAATATATAGAGATGTGAGATAGAATCCTAGTCTAACACGAATAATATAGTTCTAGTCTAATATGGATAATAGAGTCCTAATAGTCAGATAAATTCCTTTCACTCAACCACATCCCAAATTTTATTTTTTATTTTTTAAAAATATATGCATACTATAATTATTGTTTTTAAAAATAGTCCACAATACAATATGGTCATGGTCCATGGTATACTTTGCGCACTAGGCCTGTAGGCCAGACGGCCAGTCATATTCAATTATTGAATTGTTCCGTGGAATACTTCCACTTGGAGCAATAATGTTTAGTATTGAATTTTCTATACCATATTTTATATTATTTTGATGGAACCCAGTTTTCCATTTAAATATTAAATCAAAAAAAATATATAGTTTAAAATTATAATAAAGATGGCTCCGTAATAATACAATGAAAGAAATCATTTTTTATAATGAAAGAATTTAGAATTACTAT